AAAACAAGAAAAGATGGAAGCACGGAAGGGAAGATCCGTCCCTCAAGGTTGTTTTCCTTCCCCAGATGATGAAATGCACGACGGCCAGAACCCAACTGAGGAGAGATGCACAACGGGATCCGGCGATAAGAAAAGGTTAGGAATGAGAAAAACAGGTTCGAGAGAAACGGAGTGAAAGGCTGGCGACGGTCGTTCGAGCCCTCTTCCCGCGCGTCTGGGGAAAGCGCTGCCTTCCCTTCGGTGCATCAATCGACAGGCAGTTGGCGAGTGCGGCCTCGGCACGTGAGTCAAGTGGCTTCCGCGGATCGCTCAAGCGAGCGAGGATCGTCAAGGGTGTTTGTCCCGTAGACGTGTATTTTTAGTTGAATGTACTTGCATCGCGTCTTATATAGAAGCATGGGATTGTTTTCCTTTGCCTGATGGAAATAATCTGAACTAGATAAACACAGACATTCAAGGTCAAGTGGCCAAACTATGAGGGACTTTGCGTAGGCTTCCGAGATAGATTTGCATGGAGGAAGTCATACGTTGTGAAAAAATTGTTATGAAAAATGTCGAATATTAAGGGCCGTAACTGAAAGGGTTCTTCACGGTCTCTTCCTGTTTTTCCCTGTCACTTTACCTGCTCAATTAGGGTCAAAATAGCCCGTTTGATCCATGGTATAGCTGTTCCCACCCTCGGGAAAATTTTTAGCCGCTGTTCTCGAGAAACGTGTGAGCTAGGGCATCAACATTTGTGGCTATTTTCGTAGCAATAAGAGACTTCCTGGAATGAATGCTTTTTCAACCAAATCCCCGTCGGAGGCGCAACCAGAATCTATCAAATCGGATCGATTGGGTTGGTAGGCCTCCATGCTGCTAGTTGCATTACAATTCATCTCATCTCTGTGATAAGTTGAAGGAGTGACTCTCACGGGTCGAGAGAACGAAGTGGAATGACAACGCTGCTGACAGGAGAAGCGAAGGTCTTGGGAATCGACCGAGAGCGGAAGGTGGTCGAGGTGTGCACGGGGTCCGGGGAACGGCTGAGCCTCCCGTGGATCTGGCTGAGGGACCACTGTCGCTCCGCGACGTCCTACAACCACCGCACCTTCCAGAGGAAGCAGGATCTCCTCGCCATCCCCCTTCACGTTGAGGCGACGCGTGCTCGCGTGGAAAACGACAAGCTCTTCGTCCAGTGTGAGTTCCTACTTGATTCGATGGTGGAAATTACAGGTTTTCAGCCGCATGAGTATCATCTAGGAGGCTGCTTGCGCCAGTGCAGTAATGAGCATGCAGCGGAACTCTCAGACTTTGGATGGATGGCTCTTCAACGGGCGGGAGCTAAGGCGCATCAAGTAGCGCTAATTAATTTCTACTCAGGGATAGCACCATCCCGACGAAAATCGAAAAAACGCCTATTGTTCCTTTTCATTCATGATCCAGGGGACGACGGCTACGAATCCGAGAGCCGGATGAAATGGCTGGCAGAAATGAGCCCCGGCCGCGGCACCGCCCTCCGCGCCTCCGTCTACTCCAAGCGAATCCCCTGGGGCCAGGGACAACAACTCCACGATCGTCCCTGGGCCCGCGTCCCCTTCTCCCAACTCATCGATCCGGACTCGAAGGTATATAAAATCAGGATGCGGAGGTTACACTTAGGTGATTAATTCGGTCTATGTCTCATTAATTCTTTAAGGCAGTTGTGGAACGCGCTTTTCTTTCCTTTCTAGACAGACATCATTCCTTTAAAAATTCTCGTCCATTTTGCACATGGAAGGATAGTATGAAGTTAGTGTATATTCTTCATTGAGCTTGCATTTTTATTATTGAATATATTGCAGATAAATCATGAAAAACGTTTCAGTATGAAGTGCATTGGTCCCTTCATTGAAATGTTTCCATGTTATCATTACTGCTCCTACTGTTTAATGTCGAGCGATGTCATGCATTCAATTAACTCGAATTCGTCTGTCGGCAAGCAATTCACGAAATTCATTAATTTGATGAATTCACTGTCGTTATTTTATAAGCTATATATATCCACGTGCGACGAAGTAAGTCACGTTGTCTTTTCTCTCCAGACCTTAACTTTTTCATGTTTCAAGGTTCTTGTCCTTGAGTAATGTTGGCACCTGTGATCTTCACGAATGGCAAGGGCGTACAGATATTGCAGAAAGAAGAGGTAAACAAGGTTTCAAAATGTCTCTCCTAGATGGAATCGGCCAAGAAACTGCTGGAATCGCTGTGGGTGTACGGCGTGGCCGCGGCCGTGGACGTGCCGCCGACGGTCGAGGACACCCGGAGGGCCGTGGAGGCGGTGGCGCCCATCATGCACACCACCTTCGGGGACATCGCCGCCTTCGAGGCCAACCTGGAGCGCGCGGACACGGCCTACACCACCGAGTCCATCGGGCCCCACACCGACAACACCTACTGGACCCAGCCGGCCGGGTGAGAGTTGGGTCGACTCATTTTCAACTTTATTCCCGTAAATTCAGTCATTTGTCACTTGAGACAAAATGTCAATTGTGATTCGAGCAACGTGTCCTGTTCCTGGTGCATATGTAACGCATATGCAGTAGTTAATTGCATAAGCAAGACGATTCTCAACCTCAATCGGGTCGCACCCAAATTTCCAAATATTTGCTTCCCAGGTTCCAAGCCTCGGAATTTCGAAATATCATCTGATCGCGGTGGACCTTGAACTACCTTAAAGTTACTTTTCGCACATGCGCGATGAGACTGTCTGGAATTTGCCTGTTGGCGAAAAGGAGAATGCCCCCCCTCCCCCCTTCCAATTCATCTTAGCCAGAGAGAGGGGGAGAGAGACTGTTTTGCGTAAAATGAATTGACGGCAAAAGATGAAGACACGAACTAAAGGAAGGTCTCCTTCCCCAGCCTGCAGGTATTCCACTGCCAGCACCACGATGGGACCGGCGGAGAGAACATCCTGGTGGATGGACTGGCTCTGGCGAATGACATGAGCGAGGAGCATCCGGAAGCTTATCGAATCCTCTCCACCGTCCCGCTTCCGGCTGAGTTTCGGGAGGACGAGGGTGGGAGGAAGAAAAATCACTTTGCCAATCTGGACTTCACCTTCAAGCACGATCCGGTCACGGGGCATCTCGTGCAGATCCGGTCAGTTTGTGCAAAAAAAATATTCGGATCCACATTTTTTAAAATGAAATTTAGTTAATATTATAAATGGAAGAATTTGTGCGGAGATGAGGGGTTCCATCGTCAGATCGAGATCTTTCTCGTGTAGATCTAATGCAATAATCTCTCAATGAATCCGAAAATTGATTTTTGCTTGCCTCCGCCACGAAAGATGCTCTGAACCGTAGTTCATGCACCTGAATGTGTACAATTTACAGCATGGTCGAAATCAGTGATTTTGTTAGTTGTTAGTTACTCATGAAGGCACGTGGATATTGGCAAACATTGGCCAATTCAGCAGGACCGACTCGGTTTTTCAGATACAATGCCTACGACCGAGCTGAGATGTCGACCCTGGAGGCCGACAAAGTGTACGAGGTCTACTCGGCCTACCAGACGCTGGGTCGCGCCATCGCCTCGCCGGCACGCGCGTTCGAGCTCAAGCTCCAGCCGGGGACGACGCTGTTCATCGACAACTTCAGGGTCCTCCACGCGCGGAAGGCGTTCGACGGGCGCAGGGTCATGATCTTCGCCTACGTCCTCCGGGACGAGTTCCTCAGCCGGTTGAAGGTCGCGGGGGTCTTCAACGGATTGTGAATCCAACGAGTCACCTGCAGAATTAGTTCTCCCTCTCCTTGAAGTTTTACTTGAAATGTGATGGACGGTAGATGTTTGGCAAGTTATAACCGTTTCTGGTCCATTTCTGATTTTGTTAATTTCCCGCCGTTAGTGCTTTTTTTTCAAGGCTGTATCTGTCTGGAAAATGGAAAAGTGATGCATTCTTTAACACTGATGCGCTTTAATGCAATAATCTGATGGTCGGATTAAGTGAAATCCTGTGAATGTGTTGCAAATATACTTCCATGGGCATTGAAATGTCGGGATTCCATTCATTTCAAGGCAGTGTCATTCCTACCAAGTGTATAGGATCGTGTCTCCAGATTCCATAGAGTTGCATTCGTATTTTCACTCAAATTTCCAACCAAAGTCGCAGGTAGCGTGTTTCCTCGACCCGTGCGAGATGGCGCCTCTCGCGACACGTAGTCACCTTTTGATACAAGTAAATTATTGAGAAATCATCAGCTTTCATGTACCACCATACCGAAATGTTCGCGAATAGACTTACGAAGAATGACTGGCAAATAATAAATAGCTAGTTCTCATTGAGTACCACTATCTCCAGCGCGAACTGCCAATGGAAACGAGGCGGTCTACTCTTCGTTCTCCTTCTTCCAAATCCATTTGCGCGTCGGGGATTCCCTTCCACACGTCTCGAATGAGCGATCTCTACTGAGGAGCTCTTATTGAAATGAACATCTTGAAGTTCTTCGCCAGACCACTAGATGGAGGTGAGAGTCTTGTTTTTCGGACGGTACACAAAGGTTCCCTTCCCTCTTTCCCTGGAATCGTCCCTCGCAGGATTGTTTAGTTCCTCGACTTATGTCTCGCCTAGTGTCAATATAGCAAAAATAAACACGAACACTTCTTCATTTGTTATCTACTTATTCAAGACACATTCATAGGGTCTAGGCCATAAATAAGCTCATGTTACTGTCGAGAACCCTTATGGATCACGAAAGGCTTCATCTGCAGAAGAGATCTCGAATGCAAAGCGGGCGTCCGTGAACTCCATTCAATCATACCTCAACTCGATGAGAGAATGGGAATGAATGACTGATATCCCGGACATTTCGCGGAACCACAAGCGGTGGTCCATCCTCTGACGTGTGCTGTAGTCAGTACAGTCAGAGGTAGATCAACGCCTCTACCGTGCGAGAGCGAACGTGACGAAGTATATACGAGGATTTGCGTATTTACATGACATGCCTTTTTGTTTGTTGGGAATATTTTTTTCTCACGGAGGAGGATAGCAATTTCACTCCTTGGTGATGGAGCAAATTCGCTTTTTTCCCAGTGTGAAACTGAAATGAACGATTTTACTCTCTTTATTGAGAAAAATCGCTCCCCTTTTTCTAAGAGTGCAAGAAGGGATGCCGTTAGCGGAGACGCTCCCAGCGCGAACGGGCCTGCCGCTTTCAAACGCCGTCCCATCTGGCTTTCGTCTTCCGAAGAGAGAGAGTCACCTTCCTGCCTTTCGCGTGCCCTTCCTCTCGCGCCCTTCGCCTCGATGGACGCCATTCGGTGAGTCATTGCAAGGCGACAACATATATCTTGTTTTTCCCAATTCGGTTCTGAAGTCTTCAGTGCTTTCGGGACTACTGCCTGAAGACGACAGGACAGTACAAGCGGAAAGAAACTGATCGTTCGCGTAGATCCGTGTGCATTTCTCTGCCCTCGCCATAGTGGGACGGTCGCAACCAAGTCGAGAGTTCGTAAAAAAAAAAGAGTCAGTTTTCTCGTCTGCTCGATTACTCTAACTCAACTCATATTTTTGCTTTCGTCTTACCCGTTCGCCGTCCTTGACGCCCATGTGCGTCGTCGACGGATTGTTTTTTCTATTCCTTTGTTTTTAGCCCCAAACGCAATGTTACGGTTGGACGATCGGCATTGGCGCTTTGCATAAACCATGCGCCTCAGCGCTGCACTTTCTTTCTGCGCAACGTCATGACGTGACGCATCTTCCTTCGTTCATTAAAATATTGAAATGGCTTGATTGAAACGTAGATGAATGGGGACCTCTCATTGAAGTCTGCCAAGAGAGGAAATTTAAAATTTTGAGAAATGATGTTTCATCACAATCCGACTCCTCATCCAAAAGGAGTGAATTCACCGGCGGGGACGAGGATTCTGATACGTCATGGATATGATGAAGAATACCCCCGAGTAGATCAAATGGCAGCAAGATAATCATGCCGAGGTATTGTAACTATGCAATACTTTATCATAAGCAGTGCAGTGCAGTGCAGTTCGTGTGCAGCCGAACGGACTACGAGTTGCTGCGCTGCGAGCTGCAACGGAAATGTTATTAAAAAATTGAGGACCAGAGGTTAAACATATACCGTGCGCGATTCTAGCCGCTAGCTAGGTCGAGCGACAATTATGTATTCATGTGCACGCGCGCGCGCGCGTGTGTGTGTGTGTGTGTGTGTGTGTGTGTGTGTGTGTGAGTGTGTCAGCTCTACAGGTCAAACGCTTAGAGATATGAACTCGGTTTTTCGACAGAACTCTTCCTTACCATCCGAGGATGTGCCTTTCAGAAATAAAATTCGCAAATCGGTCGTAAGAAAGGGAGGGTTGACAAGTTCAATTGGAAATCGTAGATTAGCTCTCGTCTCGCCATATTTTGGATGAACTTGGAAACGAAAGTTATCGTGGTTCTCGAAAGGGAACGACGGCATCGCTCACTGAAGCGCCTCCCGCCTGCTGTCGTGAATCCAGGGATTTCAAAGGTCCGCGATGAAATACGTGGCCATTCCTCAGTTTCTCGCCACATGCGTTCGCACGGGATTTTTTTCCTTGGCTCTAAATGCAGTAGTCGCTCCTAGAAAGTTTTTTCGAGGAAGAGAGACCATTCAAACGAAAGATATTGACTTGTAGGTGACAGAAAGTGTCCTTTTTCTAGCTTCCAGTGCACCATTTTGCCGTAAAAAAATTAGATTACATTCCGTTAATTTAGGCTTAGTCCGACGTCTCCGGCCTTAGTACCGGTGTCTACATCTCCTCTTTTTAATGTAAAGATGATATGGTGTCGAGTTCTTTAGATGCGCTGAGATTGAAATGGTGCCTAGTAGTAGCCAATCGATTTGATGGGATTTGGAAGTGTCTTATTCTGATAATCGTAACAGAACAGAAAGGCGGCCACGTTGTTTTCCATGCTTCTTAGAGGCATTATTTTTCTCAGAACTCATCTTGAGGAACTCTATTTATGCCTAATGTATTTCGTCCGCATCCAAAATTGTTCATGATACTTGAAACAGACGTCAGGCTTATGAATATGCATACTTTTACTAATTCTCACATATCTGACTTCTTAAAGGCATCGAGCAGCGCACAATGACAACGTCATCAGATACTCTATATGCTATATGCTATTAACGTTAGGCAATGTGCCACTTTTAGGAATCATTTTTTCTAAATGCAATAAAATTGTTTGTTTTTTTTTTAAATTGGAATTTGTAAATTTTGATTCATTCTTTTATTCTTTTTTCGTCATTCTTTTCCTCCCACCTAAGCTTGTTAAAGCGCATCAGTATAATGATGGCAGACATTTTGTAATGTAACACCTTTCATTTCAGACTACACGATCTTCGCTATTTTTGACGATGAAAGTCAAATTAGCAGTTCTTTACCCTAATATGCATGATGCAATACTTCTGCCATCATTTGGAAGCGTTGCACCTCCACTTTCAACTGTCTGCATTGCATATTACTAAGTGATTGTCGCTCTGCACTAGAAGTGTCATATGACATCTTAGCATGGATTCATACGCAGGGAACATCTAGGAGAAATAACCCAGAGGACACCCGCGACCATCAAGACTTTCTGATATGATTTTTGCATTGGCATTCTCCTTCTTCCCGCTCCTCTGCCTGGTTATTGGGCCGAACGAGCAAGCATGCCCCACTCAAAAAATACTGCCGTGTTCGTGCTATGTGAACAATGATGGCAATGTAACTGTGGATTGCAGTGGAGCCAGAACAAGTGAGGAGATTTCATCGGCTTTGGGAAACGCCACTTGGCCCTCTACTCAACTGGGGTGAGTGATAGCTCACTGAAATATCCCGATACCTGTAGTCTGACTCGATCGAGCATCTGAACTTCAACTCTGGAACTAACAGCTAGCTTTTCCCATATTTCATACACACTGGATCCATTGGACCCGGTATCAGCTTCATACATTAAAGAAACCAAACGGTGAAAGAAGATGTCAGCGTTATGGAGAGTTATTGATTACTAACAACTTCGTATGCCCGAAGAGCTAAAAACTCGTTCTAGTAGATCCTTTGGATCTCCAATGTCTAGGATAGTGATTCGTGAATTTCTTCACGAAGTAGCAAAAACGTATTTAAAGTACGTACGTAAGTGCTTCTCCCAATACTAATGTTATTAACGCTATTAGTAGTGATATTTATTCTAAAGTAGTCATATTTATTTATTCTTTAGAGAATTTTCAACCATTAACATATTCATAGCAAGAAGCTTCAAAGTGAAGAAATGGATAATTGTTTGAATAAAAGCGAGAGAAATCATTGCACCATATGCGCCACCCACGTCAGTTCGCATCGCGTTGATGATGACACAATGATGACAAATGATGACACATCATTGTTTGAGAATGTAAAATCTCCATCCTCATTTACAGGGTTCTCCAGGTCAATTGTAACAAAAGTTTAATGTCCCTCCTACACCGAATATTTGACTCATGTAGTTCAATTGTTATTCGTTGGAATTTTACGTTTCTGCTGTTTATGCTGTTAATCCTGTCCTAAATTTCACACTTGAGCTTGAATACAATCGAATAAAATTGCGGTGGAATCCAGGCGGTCCTCAGTCTTGGAAATGCATGAAAAGAACCTGAAAAGACTGGGCATTGAAAAGGCCAGCAACAAGTTGAACATGAGCCACGCCTTCATCAAAAGACAGATCCGATACATTGAGACAGGCCATACCGCCAAACACGGAAAACGACGAGAACCAATAAATTGGTCAACCAAGTCAGCGCCGGATTTCACACAGACCCAACATGTCCATCAGGAAGATGGCGGAGGAAGGGAAGGAAGAGGTTGAAGGCCATAATTCATGCCCAATGTGGACCATTTAAGTGAAACCCTAGTCATTTTTGGTCCATGATGTCGGCAACAGGGTGAGCAAATTTGAAGTCAATAAAACATGACATTTCTTGGAAATTTTTACTTTAGTTCGTTACACTCGACCTGGACCACCCTGAATAATAAATCTCGAAACAC